AGGGAGGAAGGGAGGAGGAAAACTTTAATCAAGCTTGCAGCACCTTCAGCATTAACCATTGGGTCAGCTTGTTCTCTGACCTTCCTCATATTTGCTTCATACCTAGTGTCCTAGAACCCCTTAGACCCTAAATGATAGTTCCTGTTAACTGCTCTATAGATAACAACTGGAACATTAGATATTTTCCCTTTGAATTTCCCTTCGAAATATTTCCTTTTCAGGGCGGGGTGCATTGGTTCATGACTGTAATCTCAGCACTTTTGGAGGCTAAGGTTGGGGGATCACTTGAGCCTGGGCATTCAAGAACAGCCTGGGCAATAGAGTGAGACTCCATCTGTACAAAAAATTTAAAAACAGTCAGCATGGTGGCATGTGCCTTTATTCCCAGCTACTTGGGAGGCTGAGGCAGGAGAATCCCTTGAGCCCAGGAGTTTCTGCAGTGAGCTATGATCCCACCACTGCACTCCAGCCTGGGAAACAGAACCACACTATGTCTCTTAAGAAACAAAAAAGAAAAAAGAAATCCAGACATTTGTTCATCTTCAGATTATTGGAGAGCATTATCTGACACTTAGCCCATCGTTTGATACCAATATGCAGAATTATTAGAAAGGACTGGGACACAGCTCTGCAGTTAATGTGTTAGTATGCTGACGTACTAACTTCAGCAAGACACGGTCTCAAAAAAATAAATAAATAAAATTTAAAAATCCCACAAAACTCCCTGGGCATGGTGGCTCATGCTTGTAATCCTAGCACTTTTGGAGACTGAGCTGGGAGGACTGCTTGAGAAAAAGAATTAGAGAACAGCCTGGGAAACATAGCATAATCCTGTCCCTATTATTTAAAATTCTAAATAAAAGTCTGAAAAGCAGCATTTCCCACCTATTCTCTTTTTTTTTTTTTTTTTGAGACAGAGTCTTGCTCTGTAGCCCGGGCTGGAGTGCAGTGGCCGGATCTCAGCTCACTGCAAGCTCCGCCTCCCGGGTTTACGCCATTCTCCTGCCTCAGCCTCCGGAGTAGCTGGGACTACAGGCGCCTGCCACCTCGCCCAGCTAGTTTTTTGTATTTTTAGTAGAGACAGGGTTTCACGGTGTTAGCCAGGATGGTCTCGATCTCCTGACCTCGTGATCCGCCCGTCTCGGCCTCCCAAAGTGCTGGGATTACAGGCTTGAGCCACCGCGCCCGGCCTTCCCACCTATTCTCTATGAGGGAGTCCTCATCTACATAACAAGGTCTCCTTAGCTACACAGAAGGCAAGCTTCTTCCCTTTCTCTTCCCTAATCTGTCTTGCTATTAAACCTGACTTACCCACCAAATCCGGGATTTTTTGGCCAGCCACATCTTCATTCTTTCCTGGCCTCAGAATGGTATATAAGCTTTTTTGTCTTATTGTTCGGTGGGTCTTCATTCTGAAGGCTCCCATATATAAATGTTAAATAAATTTGTATGACTTAATCCAAGTTCCATGATCTGAAAACATTTTTCCTGTCTTTTGACCTTATTTTATTTAAAAAAAGTGCAAGAACATGCATATCTAAAAATGAGCATTTTCGTATCTCAGAAATCAAGATATTTTTCATATATAACCAGAAAATGGCATTCGTATTTAATAATGCCCTAGTATCAACACATTGAGGGATATTAAAACATCATTAATAGTGTAAAGCAGAATTCTGGAAGTTTAGCTTTGAATACATTTCATTTTGTCGGTTAAACATTGAAGAGAGTGTGTGGTGTTAGGATATGTATTGGTTTTCATCCAGGGTAATAATGTTGGGTGTGTTAGGCCTCCAGGAAAGTCCTTGACCTTCTCCTGCCCTCCTTCCACTCTAATTTAGTTTCCCCACCTTTTTGATTGTGGGTCTTAAAACCCTCTCATGAGAGGGTTCCACTGACTTCATGAAGAGTTTCTTCCTACAGATTGTAGCCTTGGAAATACTCATTAGATTCCTTATCTGTAGCTGTGTGTCTGAAGGTAGTTCCAGCATAAACTACGAGTCTGAGGATTGCTTAAATAACTTATTTCTAAATGCTGAAACAAAAATTTCAGATGTGCTCCAGTGTCCTCTTTGGGGTGCTCCTTGGGCTCTTTGTGAAGCATCAAGACACCCCCATATCCAAGCCAATGTCAGGCTCTCCAGTGTGTTCTGTTCATCACCCTCACCCTGCACTTTCATTGTCACTGTCATTGGCCATTCCAACACTGTGCTTGCATCCTGTGGAAAGTCACATTTGGGATCAAGTGAATTGTGTTCTTTCTACTCTTTGGTGAAAAGTATCAGGGTGTATTTGGACTTCAAGGGAAAATGATGAGACGGGTTGGATTCAGGTGCATCCAACTTTTTTTTTTTTTTTTCATGAGACGGAGTCTTACTGTGTCGACTAGGCTGGAGAATGCAAAGGTGTGATCTCAGTTCACTTTTATCTCTGTATCCAGGCTCAAGCCATTCTCCTGCCTCAGCATCCTTATTAGCTGGGATTACAGGCACACACCGCGATGCCCAGCTAATTTTTGTATTTTTAGTAGAGACAGGGTTTCACCATGTTGGCCAGGCTTGTCTTGAACTTCTGACCTCAAATGATCCACCCGCTTTGAACTAGCAAAGTGGTGGGATTACAGGTGTGAGCCACCGTTCCTGGTCAGGTTTCACTGCCCTGTCTTCCCTGCTCTGAGTTACTTTGTGTGATCTGACAATCAATGATTCCACCCTTCACTGATGTGGATGCATTATCTGGGACTGGGTATGTCACCTCCACACACAGACAGGGTTTGGTCAGTGATTGATGCTGCATCCTGTGGTGTCTGGATTTTGAACTTAGGGAGTTTTAAATAAGTGTTTCTGAAGAGCAGCTTCATTGGCACCTTAAAGGAAGTGACTGAATCAGTCTATGCCATTGCATAATATATAAAAGAAACTTTTCCATGTTGCTGTTAACTTTACACTGCTAACATAAGCAGGCTGTTTACAAGTTAGCATCGACAGCACATTATCAGAGAAAGACAGGCTTGTATTTAGACAATTTACACAAATTTTTAGCCTCCTATGACTCAGTAAAGCAATTTGAAAAAATGTAGCTTTATAAGGCATAAACCAATTTATATGTTTTAACTAAGGTACTTTCTGGTAAACAGTGCCCATACATTTTAGGAAATATTTTAGTCTTTAGAGAATAAGTAAGGCAAAAACGGGTCCAGGAGTCTACAGATGACATCACCTCACCACAAGGTCAAGTCTTTTTTTTTTTTTTTGAGACAGAGTCTTGCTCTCGCTCTGTCACCCAGGCTGGAGTGCAGTGGCGCAATCTCGGCTCACTGCAAGCTCCACCACCCATGTTCACACCATTCTCCCGCCTCAGCCTCCCGAGTAGCTGGGACTACAGGTGCCTGCCACCACGCCCGGCTAATTTTTTGTATTTTTTAGGAGAGACGGTGTTTCACCGTGTTAGCCAGAGTGGTCTCAATCTCCTGACCTAGTGATCCACCTGCCTTAGCCTCCCAAACTGCTGGGATTACAGGCGTGAGCCATCTCACCTGGCCCTAAGGCCAAGTCATTTTTTGTGTTATTTTTAAGATGGAGTTTCACTGTTGCTGCTGAGGCTGGAGTACAATGGTGCGACCTCAGCTCACTGCAACCTCTGCCTCCTATATTCAAGCGATTCTCCTGTGTCAGCCTCCTGAACAGCTAGGATTACAGGAGCACGCCACCACGCCCTGCTAATTCTTGTATTTTTAGTAGAGACGGGGTTTGATCATATTGGTCAGAATGGTCTCGAACTCCTGACCTCAGCTTCCCAAAGTGCTGGGATTACAGGCGTGAGCCACCATGCCCAGCCAAGGCCAAGTCTTTTACTGTTGGAGAGACACGTCATATACCAGGCGTATGAGACGATGCTCCTCAGTGACCATGATGAATCAGGACAAAAACAAGGGCATTTTGTAACTATATTTCTAAATGTGACAAAGGAAAACATATTTCAAATCATAAACATGACCAAAATTTTTCTCTTCTTACTAATGTGACTTGTAATTCTCATACATCTCACAGTCATTTATGGCTTTTGGTCATCTTTATCACTATGGTATATTACATCCTTGCTGACAGCAGGTATGGCACTGCTGGTTTTGGAGAAGGCGGCACTCAGAGGTACGTGAGATAACTATTGGTATTATGACTGAATGAAAAATAGGGTTGCAGCTGGGCACAATGGCTCATGTCTGTAATCCCAGCATTTTGGGAGGCCGAGGCGGGGCAAACCATGAGGTCTGGAGTTCGAGACCAACCAGACCAATATGGTGAAACCCCATCTCTTTTTTTTTTTTTTTTTTTTGAGACGGAGTCTCGCTCTGTAGCCCAGGCTGGAGTGCAGTGGCCGGATCTCAGCTCACTGCAAGCTCCGCCTCCCGGGTTCACGCCATTCTCCAGCCTCAGCCTCCCGAGTAGCTGGGACTACAGGTGCCTGCCACCTCGCCCGGCTAGTTTTTTGTATTTCTTAGTAGAGACGGGGTTTCACCGTGTTAGCCAGGATGGTCTCGATCTCCTGACCTCGTGATCCGCCCGTCTCGGCCTCCCAAAGTGCTGGGATTACAGGCTTGAGCCACCGCGCCCGGCCGTGAAACCCCATCTCTAATAAAAAATACAAAAAATCAGCCTGGCATGGTGGCGCATGCCTGTAGTCCCAGCTACTCAGGAGACTGATGCAGGAGAATCACTTGAACCCTGGAGGCAGAGGTTGCAGCAACCTGAGATCATGCCACTGCACTCCAGCCCGGGTGACAGAGTGAGATTCTTTCTGGAAAAAAAAAAAAAAAAAAGAAGAAAGAAAGTAGGAAAGATTGATTAGGGTTAGATAAAAATGTAAGCACCTAAGTATGAAAAGTGAAATTTCCAAAAAAAAAAAAGATGCCTGGCATTTTATCCACATGGTTATACTGACTCACAATGTCCAAGTAATAACAATTTAACAGTATAAGGTTGATCTAATACATGACACCAATGGGGTATTATAGCTTCTTAATTATTTAAAAGGAATAACATTTGTTAGTATACAGTTATTATAAACAGTTAATTGTTTACATTCCTTATCTGTATTCAAAGAATCTTGTCAGGTCTGAATGCTTTCCCATACTGTTTACATTCATAGGGTTTCTCTTGAGTGTGAGTCCTTCCATGGATTTGAAGGTGTGAGGCTGATCTGAAGGCTTTTCACATTGCTTACATTCACAGGGCTTCTCTCCCATGTGTTCTTTCATGATATCGAAGGGAACTAGAAGAAATGAACGCTTTCCCACACTGCATACACTCATAGGGTTTCTCTCCTGTGTGAGTCCTTTCATGATATTGAAAAGAAGTGGAATAAAGGCTTTTGCACATTGATTACATTGATAGGGTTTCTCCCTACAGTGAGTTTATGATATTGAAAAGAACTGGAAGTGAAAACTTTGCCACATTGCTTGCCTTCATAGGGTTTCCTTCAAGTATGAGTCTTTTCATGTCTATGAAAGTAAATAGGCAAGCTGAATGCTTTTCTGCATTCTTCACATTCATAGGGTTTCTCTCCAGTGTGTGTTCTTGCATGTATTCAAAGGATCTTGGCAGATGTGTATGCTTTCCCACAATGCTTACATTCATAGGGCTTCTCTCCTCTGCGCATCCTTTCATGTATTTGCAAAGAAGAGAAATTATGGAACACTTTTCCACATTCCTTACATTCATAGGGTTTCTCTCCAGTGTGTCCTTTTATGAATTCAAAGATTTTTGACAGATCTGAAGCCTTTCCCACATTGCTTACATTCATAGGGTTTCTCTCCAGTGTGAGTCCTACCATGCTTTCGAAGGTGTGAGGTAGATGTGAAGGCTTTCCCACATTGCTTATACTCATAGGGGTTCTCTCCAGTATAAGTCCTTTCATGATATCAAAAGGAAGTGAAAGAAAAAAAGGCTTTACCAAATTGCTTACATTCATAGAGCTTCTCTCCAGTGTAAGATTTTTCATGTATTTGAAATGACTTGGCAGAATAAAAGCCTTTCCCACATATCTTACATTTATAAGGTCTTTCTACAGAGTGCATTCTTATGTGTGCTTGTGTCCTTTCATGAATTTGACGGTTCTGGGCAGATCTGAAGGGTTTCCCACATTCCTTCCATTCATAGGGTTTCTCTCCATTGTGCGTCCTACCATGCATTCGAAGGTGTGGGGCAGATCTGAAGGTTTTCCCTCATTGGTTACACTCACAGGGTTTCTCTTCAGGGTGACTCCTACCATGCATTTGAAGGACTGAGGCAGCTCTGAAGGCTATCCCACATTGCTTGCATTTATATGGCTTCTCTCCAGTGTGAGTCCTTTCATGATATCGAAAGGAACTGGAACTAATGAACATTGCTTGCATTCATAGAGTTTCTCTCTAGTGTGAGTTTTTTCATGTCTTTGAAACGATTTGGAACAATAAAAGCCTTTCCCACATATCTTACATTTATAACATCTTTCTCCAGAGTGTATTCTTATGTGTGTTTGTGTCCTTTCATGACTTTGAAGGTTATTCACATATCTGAAGGCTTTCCCACATTCCTTACATTCATAGGGTTTCTCTCCAGTGTGAGTTCTACTATGCACTCGAAGGTGTGAGGCAGATCTGAAGGCTTTCCCACATTGCCTACACTCATAGGGTTTCTCTCCAGTGTGAGTCCTTTCATGATATCGAAGGGAACTGGAATGAGGGAAGGCTTTACCACATTGCGTGCATTTATAGGGTTTATCTCCACTGTGAATTTTTTCATGTCTTTGAAATGAATTTGCAGAACAAAAGCCTTTCCCACATATCTTACATTCATAAGGTCTTTCTCCAGAGTGCATTCTTATGTGTGTTTGAAAACTTGTAAGAGAGGATAATGCTTTCCCACACTGCTTACATTCATAAAATTTTTTCCTAGAGTGGATCCTTTCATGTATACGAACGTAACGGGGACACGTGAATGCTTTCCCACATTCCTTACACTGATAAGGCTTCTCTCCCGTGTGACTCCTTTCATGTCTACGATAGGATCTGGGACTATGAAATGCTTTCTCACATTCCTGATATTCATAAGGCTTTTCTCCAGTGTGAGTTCTTTTATGTATTTGAAGGGTAGCAGAATAACTGAAGGATTTACCACATTGTTTACATTCATATGGTTTCTCTCCAGTGTGAGTTCTTTCATGGATAAGATATAATCTGAGACAATGGAAGGCTTTCCCGCAAAACTTACATTTATAAGGTCCATCCCCTTTGTGTATTACCATGTGTCTTTGAATGCTTGAATAGAAAACAAAGGTTTTTCCACATTCTTTACAAACATAGGGTTTCTCTCCAGTGTGATCCCTTTCTTGTGTTCTAAAGGAGGGGTGATATTGGAAGGCTTTTTTAGGTTGTTGACACTTACATGGCTTCGGTCCATATTCCTGATACTCATATGCCTTGTGTCCAATGTCACCTCTGATGTTCATATTAAAAGATGAATTACCTATGCCAACTTCTCCACACACAAAGCTGTCACATGATTTTACTTCAGGAGAAGTTTGCTTCTCCTGGAAGTTCAGCCTGTCTTCTGGAAGCTGGGTAAAAGTTTCTCCACAATGACTGTTTTCTTTAATTTCATTGACTTTCTCTTCTATGAGACTCCTGTCAAAAGTGAGAAGCACATTACAAAGGGTTTGTTTATAAGTAATTTTATATTCGTCAACAAGTACTGCACTTGCATTTTTAACACTGTCCGTCAAAGTGTAGGCTTTCGGCCCTGGCTGAATTGTTTGAAGGTGATTGGACAACATATTCTACAAGGTGTCCCAGCCATAACTATTATTTTAAAAAATGTTTATATGGGACTTCTTAATACTCTTCCCAAGTAAACTATTTTACAAATACTAAATACTCTGTGTCATTTTTCTTTTGTTTCAGGGTCTTGTCCTATTGCCCACGCTGGAGTACAGTGATATCATCATAGCTTACTGCAGCCTTAACTGGCTCAAGTGAACCTCCTGCCTCAGTCTCCTGAGTAGATGGGACTACAGACCACAATGCCCAGCTCATTTTTTGCTGTTGTTGACTTGTGGTCTTCTTATGCTGCCCAGGCTGTTCTTGAACTGCTGGCCTCAAGCTATCCTCCTATCTCCACTTCTCAAAGGACTAGGACTACAGGATTGAGTCCACAGCCTAGGCCACATTTACATATATGTTTTTTGATCACATATTCTAAAAATAAATGAATTTGATCCTGGAATTAGTTGTTTTACTTATTTTTAATATATTGTCATATTCTAAGATTGTCTAGAGAGACACTGCTTTGTCTTGTAAGTACAAATTACCTGAAGTTTCTCCTGGGGTTTTGGTACTCATATTCAATGTTCTGGTCTTTCCAACTGTTTCCTAAAATAGAGACACACAAAAATAGTCCTGAGGCATTAAAAAATTGTGAAAAATTATTAGATTCTATGCCCATGATTCACTGCAGCCATATCTCATTTATTCATCAAAGTATTTCCTGTCTATGTTCTAAATCACTCAACAGCATTGATGAGCTAGAAACACTGGTTCACTAATGCACTGAGGAAAGGAAAACTGTCATCCTTACCTATAGAGGTCAGGTTCCTGAAAGTTTCCAGCATCACTTCCCTGTAGAGATTCTTCTGAAAAATATCCAGCAAAGCCCACTCCTCCTGGGTGAAGTTCACAGCCACATCCTCAAAGGCCACTGGGTCCTGAAACATCTCACATGTGTAGAGGAGGATGGGTGAGAGTGACAGCACTGGGGGCCTAGACTCTATTCTCAAGAAGTTCTCAGGATGCTGTGGACTCCAAACATTTATTCCCTGTTTTTGCTCATCAGATCCCTTTCTCCCTGTGTATACTTACCTTCTTCCATAAAGCAACTTTTTTTTTTTTTTTTTTGAGACAGATTTTCACTCTTGTTGCCCAGGCTGCAGTGCAATGGCGTGATGCTGGTTCACTGCTGGGGTTCAAGCACTTCTTATTCCTCAGCCTCCTGAGTAGCTAAGATTACAGGCATGTGCCACCATACCCAGCTAAGTTTGTATTTTTACTAGAGACAGGGTTTCTCCATGTTGGTCAGGCTGCCGACCTCAGGTGATCTGCTTGCCTCAGCCTCCCAAAGTGCTGGGATTACAGGCGTGAGCCACCATGCCCCGCCAGCAATTTTTTTTTTTCAAGACAGCGTCTCATTCTGTTACCCAGGCTGGAGTGTAGTGGCACCATCTTGGCTCACTACAACGTCTTACTCCTGGGTTCATGCGATTCTCATGCCTCAGCCTCCTGAGTAGTTGAGACCACAAGCATGTGCCACAACACCTGGCTAGTTCAAAAAGCAATCATGATGCTAGAACTGAACAAAGGGTAAAGCCACAGCAGAATAGGAAAATGTGTGTATTCACTGAACCCAGGGAGAAAAGTGAGCTGCCTGGCTGTCCCTAATGTCTCTTTGGACTGTGGGTCTGCAGCACCTGTCATAATAGAGTCCTGTGAATTCATATGCAGAACAAAGTTAACATTAGCAGTCCTGAGGCTGTGTATCCTTGAAAATGCCTGTTCCCAAAGTCTAATCTTTGATGATATTGTCAGATGAAGCAGACAGCTAGCAATGAGGACGAGGGGGAGACCCTGGGAAATCTCACACCCCCAGGGACCACCTGAAACAGGCATGCTAGATATAAGCAGAGAGTAGGGGAATCACCTGGGTAGAAAGAAACTTCCATTATGATGTCCAGGATTCATTCACTTTGCAGTTATCCTGTCAGAATGTAGCTAGATAGATGCTGACAGGGCAAAGGGGACATTCCTAAAAAAAACCTGGCACTGTATGTACACAAGAGGGCAAACAAGAAACTCCTAAGAGATACCCAGGTGTAATAAGCACAGATTTACCCACTATACGACCTTCCTGAGGTGGCAGTAATGAGCAATGCAGCCAATAACCTATCCATTCACGGCTGAACGGAAAAACAAAATGTGGTAAGCATATACATAAAATGGGATATTATTTATTCTTAGAAAATGACATCTTAGCCGGGCATGGTGGCTCACACCTGTAATCCCAGCACTTTGGAACGCTGAGGTGGGTGGATCGCCTGAGGGTCAGAGTTTGAGATCAGCCTGACCAGCATGGAGAAACCCCATCTCTACTAAAAATACATTACCCGGGTGTGGTGGCACGTGCCTGTAATCCCATCTACCCAGGAGGCTGAGGCAGGAGAATCGCTGGAACCTGGGAGACGGAGGTTGCAGTGAGTCAAGATCACGCCACTGCCCTCCAGCCTGGGTGACGAGCCAGACTCAGTCTTTTTTTTTTTTTTTTTTTTGAGACAGAGTCTCGCTCTGTCACCCAGGCTGGAGTGCAGTGGCCGGATCTCAGCTCACTGCAAGCTCTGCCTCCCGGGTTTACGCCATTCTCCTGCCTCAGCCTCTCGAGTAGGTGGGACTACGGGCGCCCGCCACCTCGACTGGCCAGTTTTTTGTATTTTTTAGTAGAGACAGGATTTCACCGTGTTAGCCAGGATGGTCTCGATCTCCTGACCTCATGATCCGCCCGTCTCGGCCTCCCAAAGTGCTGGGATTACAGGCTTGAGCCACCGTGCCCAGCTCAGTCTTAAAAAAATAAAAAAATAACAAACCAATCTTTCCAAGTATACCTCCCCCTAAAGAATGTAATTATGGCAAACATATGACAGGATGCTCTACATTACATGTCATTAAAGAGCAAATGAAAACAGGCCAGGCGCAGTGGCTCACGCCTGTAATCCAGCCCTTTGGGAAGCTGAGGCGGGTGGATCACCTGAGGTCAAAAGTTTTGAGACCAGCCTGGCCAACATGGCAAAACCCTGTCTCTAGTAATAATACAAACAGCGGCCATGCGTGGCGGCATACACCTGTCATCCCAGCTACTCAGGAGGCTGAGTAAGGAGAATCGCTTGAACCTGGGAGGCAAAGGCTGTAGTGAGCTGAGATTGCGACATTGTACTCCGGTCTGGACATCAAGAATGAAACTCCGTCTCCAAAGGAAAATAAAAAAAAGGAAAACAACAATGAAGCACCAGCAAATAAGCAAATACCTGGTGGAGTAGCTAAAATCCAAAACACTGACACTTCCTAATGCCAATGACAGTGAACTCTCCTTCACTATGGATGTGAATGGAAAATTCTACAGCCCATTTGGAAGACAGTCCGCGGAGCTCTGAAGAAAATAAGCGTGGTCTTACTGATTCAGTAGTCTCACTCCTACATATTGACCTAAATGAACTGAAAACTGATGTCCACACAAAAGTCCTCCCACAAACGCTTTTAGAAGCCTTACTCATAACTGCCAAAAACTAGACTCAAACAAGGTGAGTCTTTAAAAAAAAAAAAAAAGACAAGGTCTCACACTGTATCTACCAGGCTGGTCTCTAACTACCTGGCCTCAAGCAATCTTCTCACCTCAGTCTCCCACGTGCTGGGAACTCAGGGATGAGGCATCACACCAGGCTCAAGATGAGCCTTTCAACAGGTGAATAAAGAAACAAACTACGAGGCCGGGCGCGGTGGCTCAAGCCTGTAATCCCAGCACTTTGGGAGGCCGAGACGGGCGGATCACGAGGTCAGGAGATCGAGACCATGCTGGCTAACACGGTGAAACCCCGTCTCTATTAAGAAATACAAAAAACTAGCCGGGCGAGGTGGCGGGCGCCTGTAGTCCCAGCTACTCGGGAGGCTGAGGCAGGAGAATGGCGTGAACCTGGGAGGCGGGGCTTGCAGTGAGCTGAGATCCGGCCACTGCACTCCAGCCTGGGTGACAGAGCGAGACTCCGTCTCAAAAAAAAAAAAAAAAAAAAAAAGAAACAAACTACGGTAACACTGTACAATGGAATGTTACTCAGTGATGAAAGAAAATGAGTGGCCCTGGCAGGTGCAGTGGCTCCCACCTGTAATCCCAGCACTTTGGGAGGCCGAGGTGGGTGGATCACCTGAGGTCAGGAGTTCGAGACCAGCCTCAACATGGAGAAATCCCGTCTGTACTAAAAACACAAAATTAGCCAGGTGTGGTGGCACACGCCTGTAATCCCAGCTATTCGGGAGGCTGAGGCAGGAGAATCGCTTGAACCGGGGAGGCAGAGGTTGCGGTGAGCCGAGATCGTGCCATTGCACTCCAGCCTGGGCAACAAGAGCAAAACTCCATCTCAAAAAAAAAAAAAAGAAGAAAAAAAAAATAAGAAAATGAGTGGCCGGACATGGTGGCTCACAAGTGGAATTTAGGCACTTTGGGAAGCTGAGGTGGGAGGATCACCTGAGCTGGGAGTTTTACATACTGTCTTTAACAAAACAAAAATCTTTAGATAAATAAAGAAAAATAAAAAATAAATGAGTTGTCAAGCAACAAAGATATTTAGAGACCTTCAATGCATATTTTTACATGAAAGAAGCAAGTCTGAAATGGCCACTTACAGTATCATTCCAAATATGTGATATTCTGGAAAATGCAAAACTCTAGAGGCAGGAACATCATCATTTGCTTCCAGGGATAAACAGGGATGGCAAAAGAGTGAGGAGAAGGTATGATTAGAAGGAGCACAGGGGAGTTTGAGGGCAGTGAAACGCTTCTGTATAAGACTGTGATGGTGAATACATGACACATGTAGTTGTCTTTTTTTTTTTTTTTTTGAGACAGAGTTTTGCTCTTTTTGCCCAGGCTGGAGTGCAGTGGCATGATCTCGGCTCACCGCAACCTCTGCCTCCTGGGTTCAAGCGATTCTCCTGCCTCAGCCTCCTGAGTAGCTGGGATTACAGGCATCTGCCACCACCCCGGCTAATTTTGTATTTTTAGTAGAGACGGGGTTTCTCCATGTTGATCAGGCTAGTCTTGAACTCCCGATCTCAGGTGATCCACCTGCCTCGGCCTCCCAAAGTGCTGGGATTACAAGCGTGAGCCACCGCGCCTGGCCAGTTGTCTTAAACTACAGAACAAAAGAGTGAAGTTTAATGTAAAAGATGGACTTTAGGTAATAATAGCATTGGCTTCTTCAATTTTCATCATGTTCACATGTAATATATTCTTGCTTCAGTTGTAGGATACACTACACAAAGTCGATATGGTTTCTTTGGTTTAAAACTATTTTTTTTTTTTTTTGAAACAGGGTCTTGCTATGTTGCCTAGGCTGGCCTCCAACACTGGAGTTCAAGCTATCCTCCTGCTTCGGCCTCCCTACGTGGTAGGATTACAGGTATGAGGCACAGCACCTGGCCAGTCAAGATGTTTAAAATACAGGGAACTATGAGCCTGGAAGAAAAATGCAGGAACTCTGTGGATTATCTGCTCAATGTTTTGGGTAAACAACCACTGTTCTAAATAATAAAATCAACTAAGAAAGTGAATTAATTATCATTCTGTATAAGGTTCCATATAACTGAGTTAAAATAAAATCTGATATAAAAGATCACATATTGGTTATCATTTGCATAAAAAACATGCAAAAATAAAACATACTGATGAGGATGCGTACCCAGGTTGTGAAAGTAGGAGGAAAAGTAAGGCAATTATCTTACCATTCCCAATACTGGCTCCATCATTATTATTTGAATTCATTGTGCAATTCTTTTATGTATTTATTGCATATGTAACAGTTTTAGTAAGTTTCTAGAATGCACACTCTATACAGAAATAAATCTCAGTGAATTTTAATTATCAGCAACAATCTGCTGAACATAATTTTTAAAAGACAGCATACCCTATTGAAACTAATTTTTTTCTTGTTTCTTTTCTTTTCTTTTTTTTGAAACAGGGTTTCCTTCTGCTTCCCAGGCTAGAGTGTAGTGGTGCAATCATAGCTTACTGCATCCTCGAACTCTCAGACTCAACAGATCCTTCTACCTCAGCCTCCTGAGTAGCTGGGACTACAGGCACACATCACAATGACGAGGTAATTTTTTGTATAGGCAAAGTTTGCCATGTTGCCGACACTAGAATAATCTCTTTATTTTTTATTTTTTTTTTTTGAGATGGAGTGCAATGGAGCAATCTTGGCTCACTGCAACCTTGGCCTCCCGGGTTCAAGTTATTTTCCTGCCTCAGCCTCCTGACTAGCTGGGATTACAGGCATGCGCCACCAGGCCTGGCTAATTTTGCATTTTTAGTAGAGACAGGGTTTCTCCATGTTCATGAGGCTGATCTCGAACTCCTGACCTCAGGTGATCCGCCCACCTCCGCTTCCCAAATATTGGGATTACAGGCATGAGCCACCATGCCCAACCACTAATTTCTATTAAAACTAATTTTCTTGAAGTCCAAAAAAGTCTCAGGAAGGATATAAAATGATTCTTATGTAAAAAGTCTACACTGAAAAACATCAATATAAAATGAAATAAATGGAAAAATATCATGTGCCCTTAAAAGGAGATTAAATAGCACTATGATGTAACCTTTCTGAAATGTGACTACAGTTATATTTTATTCCATGAAATTTACAAGGCAGTTTGTTTTTTCACTAAAATTAAGAAAAAACTACTTCTAAAAACTGAAATACAAGACAATGACTAAGAATAGCCAAGATGCTCTACAGAATATGGTTGGGGGGTGTTATGGCGTGAATATTTGCATCACTCCAAAAAAATCACACATTAATAACCTACCCCCCAATATAGTATTAGAAGTTGACATCTCTGAAAAGTCATTAGGATTAGATGACAGCATAAGAGTCGATCCTTTCTGAATAAGATTAGTGCTCTTATAAGAAGACACAGGAGAGCCAGCTTCCTCTTTTCCATCATGTGAAGAAACCACAAGAAGATGACCATCTGCAAACCAGGAAGCGGGCCCTTACCGGACACTAGATCTGCCAGCTCCCTGAACGTTGACTTCACAACCTCAAGAACTGCCAGAAATAAATGTTTATTCTTTAAGTCACCCAGTCTATGGTAATTTGATACAGCAGCCCAAGATAACTAAGATAGAGAGGCAATACACCCACCCATTAAACACCATAGCTTTGAACTCTATACTAATTAAGAGAAAATGGTATTATCAGAGAGATGGAAAGATAGGCCAATGGAAAACAGCAAATTGTGAAACCAGGGCATCTAGTTTTTTGTTTGTTTGTTTTTGTTTTTTTTATACCGGAGTTTCACTCTTATTGCCCAGGCTGGAGAGCAATGGTGTGATCTCGGCTCACTGCAACCTCCACCTCCCAGGTTCACATGATTCTCCTGTTTCAGCCAACCGAGTAGCTGGGATTACAGCCATGCGCCACCAAACTCGGCTAATTTTGTACCTTTAGTAGTGACGGGGTTTCACCAGATTGGTCAGGCTGATCTTGAACTCCTGACCTCGGGTGGGCCTCCCGCCTCAGCCTCCCAAAGTGCTGGGATTACAGGCGTGAGCCACCGTGCCCAGTCTGGGCATCTGTTTAAGGTAATGTGAAACTACGACAAACCAGGTATTGTCAGCCAATGATACAAGTGGTGAACACTTAACAGAAAAAGCAGGGACAAATGGTTCTCTACCGGAGAATAATGAATCTGCTACCCATCATCTCCATATACAATAATTTAATTAATTCTAGAGCTGCCGGATATGGTGAGTTCTTATAATTATATGTTACCTTAGCATGCATTTTCTTTATGGATTTAACTTTCTCATAACGGAAGAAAACTTTATCCAAACTCAACAGAGTTTCTAGTTCTCCATCTCCTCCCAGTTCCTCCATGGGGTCAACTCACATATATTTCTTACATGACTGCATTCTGGTGACCACCTCCCTGTGGGACAGCTAGATATAACCAATTTGAGTTGTCCCACTAACCCTTACACTCCACATGGATGGCACAGACCAGCTCTTAATCACAGTGCGACTTCACAGGACTAGTGTCTGCTTGCTCTAAATCCACCAGAAACAACTCCCCGAGAGACACCTCCTTGGTCAATTCCCTGGACCCTGAGAAAAGCTTTGGCCCACAGGTCCCTGTCTGTCCTGCTCCCCACCTGCTGGTTGAATATGCATCCTGGATGTTCCCCCCACTCTGTGTTGCTCTGCAGGTGTGCTGCCCTCATCTCCTGGGATTGTGAGCAGTGCACTGTGATGTCATGGGCTTTGTTGAGTTGTCTCTTCTGTGTCTCACTGACCTACACAATCATTCTTGGATTTGGCCCTAGTGAAAAATGCAATGTAAAGTTAATTTGAAACACTCAAGCTGCAATGTATGAACAATTCTTTACAAGAGACAAGCCCACAGAGGGGCAGTGCTGGCTGGAACACAGTGATGTCTGACTCATGTGTCAGCACAGGTCACCCTGTCACATGAAACATCTCTCCACCCCATCCTCCTCACTGAAGCGCTCAATGACTACTTTCCACCAACACCGCACTATACCCCGCTGTGTATCCGCTTCCATATTCTGATTTGCAGGCTACTGGTCCACCCTGCTGGGGTGGGCTTTCCTTGTGTTTTGGGGTTTTGTCTCCCTTCACAGTTGACACAATCCAGAGGACAGGAATCATCTCTCCTTTCCCTCAATAGCACCATCCAACTGGCTGACCAGCCGTGTGTCTCCAACTTATGAAAACTGGGGTTAGGAAAGAAAAGCTGAGCATCTCCAGGGCTTGGCTATCTAGATGCAGAGTATACCAGGAGTCTCCCTGCACCAGAAGGCATTCAGCTGCTCTCTTGGGAGTCCCCATTCTCCTACCTTACTCTGTCCCCTGGGAGGAGAGACCCAGGGGCTGATACGAGGCCCTCCAAGAGACAGAGCAGCTGTGGGCATATTAGGTCACCCCAATTCTGCCACCCAGGACCAAGAAAACATAGGAGAGTGCACTGAAGACACAATACCCTTTGAAGTTTCCAAAGGGGAGCCTCAACCAAAAGACAATCTGATAAAATGTGTTTCCACAACAGAGGAAAGGAGAAGCATGCATGTTTTGACAGGAAAGTGTCTGGTGGTGACTCTTGGAACATTTCACATGAGAGGAAAGGAGAAGTGCTCAATGACTGTTTCCCACCAACACTGCATTCTGTCCCCTGTGTACCCCCAAGTATATTTTGCTTTGCAGGCTATTGCTGCACCCCGTTGGAGTGGCCTTTCCTTGTCTTTTGGGATATTTCTCTCTTCACAGTTGAGACAATCCAGAAGACAGGATCATTTCTCCTTTTCCTCAATAGCAACATCCAACTGGCTGACGGCCATGTGTCTCCAATTAATGGAAACTGGAGTTGGGAGAGAGAAGCTGAGCACCCCAAGAATTGGTTATTTAGATGAAGAGTATACCAGGCATCTCCTCCACCATTAGTCATTCAGGGGCTCCCTCAGGAGGCCCCACTCCCCTAGGCACTGATGGCCACTAGACCCTCCAGGAGACAGGGCAGTCGTGGGGATTTTGAGTCATCCCCAGGCCGTTCTAAAACCCAAAACCTGGAAAAGATAGGAGGTTGCAGGTCTGGGCACGGTGTCTCATGCCTGTAATCCCAGCACTTTGGGAGGCCGAGGCGGGCAGATCACGAGGTCAGGAGATCGAGAACATCCTTGCTAACATGGTGAAACCCCATCTCTACTAAAAATACAAAACATTATCCAGTGCGGTGGCAGGCGCCTGTAGTCCCAGCTACTCGAGAGGCTGAGGCAGGAGAATGGCGTGAACCCGCAAAGTGGAGCTCGCAGTTAGCTGAGATAGCGCCACTGCACTCCAGCCTGGGAGACAGAGCGAGACTCCGATTCAAAAAAAAAAAAAAAAAAAGGATACGAGGGTGTACTGAAGACACAGCACCCTGTAGTTTCCAGAAAGGAACCTCATCCCGAAGACATCCTGATAAGGTTGGTAAGGTGTCTGTGTCTAGGAAAGACAAAAGGAGGAGGGGCAGAAAAGTTTTTTCGGGAAAATGTCTAGTGGTGATTCTCTGCTTTCCTGTCATGTGAAATGTCCGGAAACAGATTTTACTGCAAGCCCCTGAAGAGTTAGGCTGTTGTATGAGGGTGGAGGATTTGAGGCCCTGCATCCCATACATCTGGAAATGGTAGGGGGAAACCACTTGCCCTGGAAAGTGTGAAAAAATTTAAATAAGAAGCAATGAGACCAAACTGTGTGTAGTATCCTAAGGTCCTACCTAAGGACACTAAAATCAAATTTAAATACAACTCTTGAAAATTACTAATTTATAGGGAAATGAAATTTATGCTTAAGCAGGCACAATCCAACAATTAACCTGTGATTACATGACTAGAAATCTTCTACCTATATAGGCTGTGTGAACAAGTAAGTCAGGCCAGGTGTGGTGGCTCACTCCTGTAATCCCAACACTTTGGAAGGCTGAGGTAGACGGCTCACTTGAGGCCAGGAGTTTGAGACCAGCCTGGCCAACATGGCGAAACCCCGCCTTTATTAATAATAAAAAAAATTAGCCAAGTGTGGTGGTACGCACCTGTAATCCCAGCTACTTGGGAGGCTGAGGCAGAAGAATTACTTTAACCCAGGAGGCGGAGGCTGTGGTAGGCCAAGACTGTACCACTGCACTCCAGTCTGGGTGACAGATTGAGACCCTGTGTCAAAAAAAAAAAAATCGAAAAACAAACAAAAAAAACACAAGTAATTCAAAAATTTAATCTGGTAGATCTCTAAATTATCTTGAAGCAATGTGATCATGGAGTTGAGTTACGTGATATACAGCTTTCACATAGCCAGCTAGAACTCTCCTTTCCCTGATTACAGATTCGCCTTCTTTCTTACCTATACTGTTTTGTAAAATGTTGTAAATGACTGAAGGGAAACAGCAAAGGCCCTTTCCCTCGTCATTAGTTTTTTTTTAAATTTAATATGATTTTTCATAATTGAGATGGGGGTCTCACTATGTTGCCCACGCTGGTCTTGAACTCCTGACATCAAGCCATCCACCTGCCTCGGCCTCCCAGAGTGCTGGGGTTCCGGGTGTGAGCCATCCCGCCAGGCCCCTCTTCACTACTGATCTCTAGAGTAAACTAACTTCCCTCTTTACTTCCTCACACAAAGATTTCATGCCTGTCACATTGTCTTCAGCTGGAATGTTAAATTCACTCTTTTAAATTGAAAAGTAAATAAAAACCAGCTAGAAAGAAAACAAGCTTTGGGAGAAAAAAGCAAACCATAATGAATGAGGTTGTTAGCCAGGTGCAGTGGCTCACGCCTATAATCCCAGCAATTTTGAAGGCCAAAGAAGGAAGACTGTTAGAGGCCAGGAGCTAGAGATCAGCCTGAGCAACGTATCGAGACCCCACATCCGGAAAAAAATAAAAAATTAGCCAGGTGTGGTAGTGGGCAACTATAGTCTCAGGTACCTCGGGAGGCGGAGGTGCTTGAGCCGGGGAGGTCAAGGCTGCAGTAAGCCATGATCGCACCACTGCTCCAGCCTGGGCCACAAAACAAGACATTGTTTCAAAAATAATAATTAAACTGTTGTATCTCATACATCAGCCTTCTATGGAAAACGTAATCCTGTTGTATTTATTTGCCTTTTGCCTATATAAGTGTTAGGGAAGCAGGTGCCTAGGGGAGCCAGAATAACACCAATTTAAGTTCAGCTCCATCTTGAGACTAACAAGAAACACTCCTTGCCAGTCACAACCCATGATCATCAAATGTTTCCCATGAAGGAAACAGCCTGAAGATGCCTGCAAGTATCCTTACAGTCCCACAACAGAATGTCCCGATGTCCCAATACCCATAACAGTATGTGCTTTCAAGATAATTATAGTTCTTTTTTTGTTTGTTTTGTTTTGGGTTTTGTTTTTTTTTTTTTGTTTGTTTTGTTTTGTTTTTGAGACGGAGTCTCGCTCTGTCGCCCAGGCTGGAGTGCAGTGACCGGATCTCGGCTCACTGCAAGCTCCGCCTCGCGGGTTTACGCCATTCTCCTGCCTCAGCCTCCCGAGTAACTGGGACTACAGGCGCCCGCCACCTCACCCGGCTAGTTTTTTTGTATTTTTTAGTAGAGACGGGGTTTCACCGTGTTAGCCAGGATGGTCTCGATCTCCTGACCTCGTGAGCCGCCTGCCTTGTCCTCCCAAAGTGCTGGGGTTACAGGCGTGACCCACCGCGCCCGGCCAGACCCTATTTAATTTTAAACCTTAGCCAATCGAGTTAGCTTAGATTGTGAGGTCCAACCCTAGCCAATGAGGAAAGGACACAGAAGTCCTAGGAACTGCGTTAAGGATAAAAACCCCTGTCCTACCCCGCTCGGTGTGCTCTTGCGATCATCCGTGACTGGCGCAAGCTGCACACTTATGTACAAATAAATGTGCCTTGCTGAGGAATTTTCTGCTTAGATGCTGGTTTTCTTTGTGGCACCGGGCACTTGTTTCTAACAAACCCCATACCCGAGGCGGGATCCCCCCATATCCCTCCCGTGGCCCCCGCATAATGTGGGGAGACGCGGAGCTGAGGGCGCGGAGCTGCCCAGATTGGGCTCCGGGGCAGGGCAGCAGTTGCCGTGCAGGGACGGGGCAGGACGCCCGGGGTCCCGGCTGCCGGCCCAGCCTCACCCTGCGGCCGAGGGGACTCGTGTCCCAGACCCCGGAGTCGCGGCGTGGAGGCCCGGGTCCCGCCTCAGCCCGTTCTGGCCGATTCCAGCCCCTCTCCCAGTCGCCCGGACGCAGCCCCCTCACACACACCATTTCTCGGCTTCCAGGGTGTTCCGGCGTCCTCTGCGTGGCTCCCGCGACTAGTGTAGGTCACAGTGCAGGTTACAGAGCGACAGAAGCTCTGGTGGAGGAACCTGGTCCCTCTCGGAGCAAGAGCGCCGATTTCCTGGCCGCAGCCGGTACAGCACCAAAGGAAAGGACGAAGGGCGACTGTCCCCTCCCCCTTCCCCGGATGGACTGCTGACAGGGCCCCGCCCCAGCACCCCTGACTGGATGGGGCGCCAGGCCCCGCCTCCTCCGTCCTGAGTGACAGCAAAAGCCCTGGGTAACCGGGTCCTGCAGATCTTGTCTGACTTGTTCCGGCCACAGCGTCTCTAAGCGAGCAGCCTCTCTAAGCGAGCGCCTTCCTTGCGCCCTGGTTATCGGATATTTGCATTTCAAGGCGACTTGCTCCTCACTGTTAGAAGAGGCACTGTTAGCTTCCTCATTCAAGGAGCTGTCCCTGCTCCTTCCTTCTGCACGGGATCACAAGTGTATGCAGGAAATTTCAGACTCAGTGTTCAATGGAGAGAGACGCTTGCCTCAGAGCAGGAGGGGAGCCCAGACCAGGCAAGAGGCATGACTGCACCAGGAGAGAGAGGCAGATGTCTTTCAGGGTGCGGGAAATAGGATGAGGCATGGCCAAGGCTTCCTCACATTGCTATGGACTGCTGCAAGGTTTTCCTTGTAAGAGAGCTAACCAAGCCAGAACTTATTAAAGATTTAGAGGCTCTCAGTACTATGTATATCTATCCCTGGTGCATTGACAGTGACTGAAGACCCATTTTTCAGGACACGCTGTGTAGGACTGAACCAGGGAACATGATATAGCATGGCACTTTTATCTCACATATAACCCCCAAGGAGCAGGGTTAACTGAAATGAAAGATGGTCTCAGGGGAAGCTGTAAATGAGAAATTCTGTAATAGAAATTATGACTTAGGCAGGCCGGGTGCGGTGGCTCATGCTTGTAATCCCAGCACTTTGAGAGGCTGAGGCGGCAGATCATGGGGTCAGGAGTTCAAGACCAGCCTGGCCAACATGGTGAAACCCTGTCTCTACTAAAAATACAAAAATTAGCCAGGAATGGTGGCACGCGCCTGTAATCCCAGCTACTAGAAAGGCTGAGGCAGGAGAATTGCTTGAACCGGGAGGCAGAGGTTGCAGTGAGCCAAGATCATGCCACTGCACTCCAGCCTGGGACACAGTAAGACTCCGTCTCAAAAAAAAAAAAAAAAAAAAAAAAAAAAAAAAAAAAATATATATATATATATATATATGTTTTAGGCATCTTTTTTTGAGATGGGGTCTCACTCTGTCATCCAAGCTGGAGTGCAGTGGTGCGATCACTGCTCACTGCAGCCTCAACCTTCCAGGTTCAAGCAATCCTCCCACCTCAGCCTCCTAAGTAGGTGGGACTACAGGTGCGTGCCACCATGCCTGGCTAGTTTTTTATTTTTGGTAGAGATGGGGTCTCATTCAGTTGTTCAGGTTGATCTCAAACTGCTGAACTTAAGTGATCCTCCAGCCTCAGCCTCCCAAAGTGTTGGGATTACAGGTGTGAACCCGGCCTCTTGGGCATCTTCATTGCTCCACACCTTAAAACGATAAATTAAATATTCCATGAATACTGCCTGGAGAAATTAGCACAGCCATAACTTGTGATAAGGCAAATCAGGTGTTGAAATTTAAACATTCCTGGAAACTTCATTTAATAAACCTAATTTTGCTTATGTGTGAAAGTACTCATACATATTCATTGTTCAGACATGGATAACCATGGCAAGAAGATGAGGTGCTATGAAAAATTATGTTGGGACAACAGGTACTATCAAGG